CTCCCCCGCGCGCCCCCCCCCCCGTGACTTTCTTCCGTGCCGCCTTGGTTGACACCCACGACACGACCACCGCACACTCGCCCCCAATGCACATCGATCCGCATCCTCTGGCGGAGTTTTTTTCTTCTTCCGCTTGGCATACGACTGCATGCACTGCATGCACCCAGGGACGCCCCAGTTATGTTCCGAATGTCACGGGCGCGGGCCGTGAGCCCTGAGATTCCAGTGTCCACCATATCATTTCGCGTGGCCGCTGATCCATATCCATACCGGGCTCGACGTCAGCCAGCCATGCCTCTTCAGTGCCCAACGCCGACGCCACCAGCACGTTTTCCGGTACTCCATGACATCCGGCTGGCCCTACACTAGCCAAAGGAAAAAAAATCAAGCGCGCGCGGGCCACTGGCGGAGCTGATAGCACTCTCGGCTACAGCCAAACAAATGCCATTACTCTGATCTGGATCCAACCCCACCAGGAAGGCCACGAGGCAAGATTTTCCACGCGGGTCGACAATGGCCCTGGTCGCCCCACGAGGTCACCCGTATCCACGGCATTGTGTCCCTCGCCCTGCATATCGCGCACCGTGACATGAGCAATGCCTCCCTAATGCTGCATCCCATCTTGACCCCACGGCCCTTGATTATGCTGCCAGTCCCCGCTCTGCATGGGCTTCTGAGCCTGCCATACCACCACTCGCTGCATCCTTGAGACTCGACTCCCTCGACACTCGGCATGTCTCCCAATGTAGGGCTGGGCTCTCAGGGTCCGGTTGAGCGCGGATGGAGTCTCTGGCTCACGAGCGTGCTGGCCGTCATACTCGCGGGCCTCTTTGTGTGCGCACGCCTTGCTCAGCGATTTATGAAGCGGAGTGGGCTGGGGGTGGACGACTATCTGATTCTGGCAGCATTGGCCTGTTCCGTCTTGTTGACACTGACCGAGTGTCAAGGTGAGTGCATCTGGGCGTTATACAACGACTGCTAACCCCGTACGTATAGCTGTGGTATACGGCTATGGGAGGCCTTGGAAGACACTGCCTGCTGATTCGCGCGTCATTGCTCGCAAGTGGTTCTATGGGGCAAACAGTGCGTACATGTCCAGCCATCCTTGTCTCCACGACTCTGCTGACCACGATAGTCGTCTACAAGCTGGTCCTCCTATTCAACAAGACGTCTGTTGTCTGCCTGTACTACCGCATCTTTGCCGTCTCCACCAAGTCTTTCCGCGTTGCCTGCCATGTCATGAGTAAGTGTCTTGATTGGCGTGGTGGAAACCGTTGCTAAGTCTATCCAGATACTTGGATCGTGATTACAGGCGTGGCCTTTAGTATTGCTACCGTCTTTCAATGCACGCCAATCGCCGGGTTTTGGGACCACTCGATCAAAGGAGCAAAGTGCTTTTCGAATGAGCCGTGGTGGATCTCGTACGCGACGGTCCAGATCACCACCGACTTTGCACTGCTTTTCATGCCCTTCAGACAGATCCTGAAACTGACCATGGGTACGACGGAGAAACTGGGTATAGCCCTTGTGTTCGGCACTGGTGGATTGTATGTACCTTGGAGCATCTATCCGCGGCACTGTACTAACGCCACAAAGCGTCACTTTTGCATCCATCTATCGGGCTACCACGATTGCAAGATCAGCCACCAACCCCGATCCAACCCTGGGCCCTATTCCCGCGACGATATGGTCAGTAATAGAAGCAAATGCCGGCATCATCTGCGCCTGTCTGCCCATGCTCCGTGCTCCGTTCGTGCGGGTATTCGGGCCTCTTTTCGGCTCGCGCATAGGTACCAAGGGTAGTGTGGGTGGTCAATGCGTGCAACGGGTCAGACAATGCAACACCCCCTGCATCTCCCAAAGTAGAACCCACCAATTTCAAATCCCCACAACTCCACCACCATGACAGCTATCGAAAAAGCGCTTGCGGCAATCAATTCGCAAGGTCTAGAAGGACAAATCTCGTACCGTACAGCTGCAAAAATATATGGTGTTGCGGCATCAACTTTAACGCGTCGCCACCAAAACAAAACGCGGTCGCGTGCAGCCGCTGCACACCCACGACGACTACTCTCACCACAACAAGAGAAATACCTTGTCCAGCACATAGAAAAACTCTCTAAGCGTAGTACTCCACCGTCCCAAGAGATGATTAAAAAATATGTTGCCAATATTGCAAAAAGACAGCCATCTAACAGCTGGGTTACAAGATTTCTTCGGCGGAACAGAGAGAAAATTATCACCAGAAACACCGCCGGCATCGACCAAAACTGCAAAAAAGCTGACGATTTTAAAGATTACTATAATTACTTCCGTCTACTTCACGATTATATCGAGAAATACGATATCCAGCCGCAAAATATCTATAATATGGACGAAAAGGGCTTTCTCCTTGGTGTCACTCAA